TCGGTTCTGCTCTGCTTGCTAGAGGCAAGCAAATGCTCTCATCTAAGAGAGGCTTCCTAACTCAGCTTTAGATGCAAAATGTTGCAGCTCATTAAGAGGTCCTGCCACGAAACACTTAAACAGTGTTGATGAAAAGCTGAACGCATGCTTTTCGGTTTTCAGCCATAACAGGAAAAAAGCTGTGCTGTTTTAAAATGCCGACTTTCTGGGCTGTCCTGCCAGGGCAAACTCTGACTCTTTCAGGAAGGCAGTCCCGACTGAGTGTGAGTGGAATGTTGCAGCTTGCTTGCTGGCAGGGACCTTGAAACGCCATAGAGTTGTGGCAATAAAAATGGCTGCAGTCGGTACCTCAGCCATGAGGCTGGAAAGCTAAGGAATGGGCTAATTCCAGCCGTAAAAGCCACAGTTTTAGTCCTCTCCTTAAAGACTCATGTGGTCAGAAAAAGAGAGATATACAGTAAAGAGAGATTCAAAGACGAAGAAAAAACCTCTAAATGGTTTACAGTGTGTTAAAAATATATGCAGGCTAAAGGTTAAAGTCATTAAAAAGAAAAAAGAAAGAGAAGTAGGGTGTGGTGATACACACCTTTAATCCCAATGCCTGGGAGGCAGAGGCATATTGACCTCTGTGACTTCAAGGGACAGAGGTAGAGATTGACCTCTGTGACTTCAAGGTGTGGTAGCACACGCCTTTAATCCCAATGCCTGGGAGACAGAGACAGAGGGATCTCTGTGAGTTCAAGGACAGCCTGGTCTACAGAGTTATTCCAGGACAAAGATAAATACAGAGACCCTGTCTCAAAAAGCCAAAAGTTAAAAGTAAAAATAAAAGAAAGAGGTTGAAATAAAGCCGCATAAAGATGGAAAATACACAGAGAATCTTGATACTGTATGCTACTATGCTCTCTTTTAATTGTTTGAATGCTGAGGAAGGAGCAACAGTCGCCAAAAGACATTTGCTTATAAATGCTGCAGAATTAATCCAAGATAGGTATTTTAAAAATACCTTGGCTTCAAAATTGAAGTCAAAAGGTATGTTACTTTGGAGAAGAGATTTTGCTTTTGTTTCCACAGAAAATGAGAGGCTGTGGATTCATTCTGAGTTAAGAAAAATCAGGTTCGAAAAAGGAAGACCACCTGAGAAGTCTCCGATAGGAACAGATGGCCCAGATGACAGAGTTCTACATCCAGAACAGATTAAAGACTGCTGTCTGAGATGATCAAGACTCACAGGATACTCCAGTCAGGACTTGATTATAACTCTAAATTTTCTTTAGGTCCCCATAAGATCATCAGCGCCCCTAACCAGCAGGAAGTAGCCTGAAATACTACGCCCACATTCCCAACAAATGGACTATGGGTATTTTCCTTTGTTTAAAAAAAAAAAAAGAGGGAAATGGTGTGGAGAATTGTCTGTATTCTGTCAATCATATTTTAATAAAACGCTGATTGGCCAGGCAGGCAGTATAGGCGGGAAAGCCAGACAGGAAGTAGGGGTGGAGCAAAGAGACTGGGAGTATTCTGGAAAGCAGGAAGCTCACTCTACAGTTCTGCCCAGACCACCAGAAAGATGTAAGCTGCCCCCGCTGGAAAAGGTACTGAGCCATGTGGCTAACATAGATAAGGATAATGGGGTAACATAAGTCATAAGAACTAAAAAGTAGCCTGACCTAATGGGCCAATCAGCTTTTTAATCTTATGGAGTCCCGTGTGTGATTTTCCTTGGGGTATGCCGGCAGTGGGGTACTGGGTGGGACAGAAACCCCAACAAGCCGGCCCTCACGTTACACTTATGCAATTAACCCAAATAGAAAGCATTGTTATCAGTGATCAAACACATCTATGTGTACACAGGCTCGTTTACAAAAGGCAGATGCATCTGCATACAACTTGGAAGCAGTTGCCTGGGAAGGGTGTGAATGAAGGTTTGGCGGTGGTGGTGGTTCTAGCTTGTCACTATCTCCTCTGTATGATTTAAAAATTTGGTGCCATGGATGCGTGACTGATGGAAGAGAACAAAGACAATGGATTTTAGAATACTGAGGGCTGCAAAGAGCACTGTTCAAAAACAACAGAGACGTCAACAAACACTCCTCCACTAACTAAAGGGGTTTCTGCTACTCCTTATGATGTATGGAAGTAGCCTAAGTCAAGGTTAGCCTGGGCTGTCAGTTCTTCCTGTAGAGCCATAAAGAAATGCATTTTGCCCCAAATAAAAACTTGAATGTTTTCCCTAAATATACAATCTCAGGGGAAAAGAGCCAAGCTCTTAAAAAAATGTATTTGTTCTGACTTCCTGACTCATTTGCCCCTGAAAACCATACTCTGGCACCATAGGTCTGTCTCTATATGGATTGTGTCTCGGTTACTGCTGTATTTTGTTTTGGTTTTTCAAGACAGGGTTTCTCTATAGCTTTGGAGCCTGTTTTGGAACAAGCTCTTGTAGACCAGGCTGGCCTCGAACTCACAGAGTTCTGCCTCTGCCTCCCGAGTGCTGGGATTAAAGGTGTGCGCCTCCACTGCCTTGCTTACTGCTGTATCTTTGGCACTGAGTGCACAATACCCGTTTGTTGGAACAATGAATGAATGGATGGAACAGCCATGTTTCTGATGCTCATTCTGGGCAAGTTTTGGCTTAACTATAGTCAGAGGCCTAGAAGTGAAATTTAAAGGAGACATGGGGTCTGCCTTTCTCTCATACAGAGATGTCAGAAGCCAGAAAGGAAAACTGGAAGCAGGAAGAGACTGTTCTATGAAGGGTTTTTGAGTTTCCTGTCTCTTCTAAAAAAGGAGAGGCACTGGATAGTCCTGCCAGGGTTGCTGGGATGGGGGCACTGTCATTATATTGCTCTATAATGGGAAGGTGGGTCACACTAGAGCAGGAGTGGAAGGACATGGATTTGCCCTGGCCCTGTTTTCTCCAAAACCTGTGCTCTAAGATTTTATCCTGTTGCCTCTGAGAATCTCTCTGTTGCACTGCCCTGTAGCACTTACTAAGCCGGATGTGGACTCTATCAGGTCCTTGTCTTAGAGCCCCTAGAACATAAGCAAGTTTTAGGAGAACAAGGATTTTTTCTTTGCTCACTCTAATGGGAAGAAGTATATGGTGAGCAAACCCTGTTGAATGAATGTCTGAATACAAGAGAAAAATTTATCTGTAATGCAAATAAAATGCTTTAGGGTCTTAAAATTAAAAAACAAAACAAAAACAAAACAAGAAAACTGAAAATAAAACTTACTTCAGGCAGGTCATGGTAGGAGGCAAAGGTAGGCAGATCTCAGTGTGTGTTTGAGGCCAGCCTGGTCCATACAGTGAGTTCCAGGCCAGCCAGGACTACATAGTGACACCTCGGAACATAAAAATGACAAGGGCAGCACAACACTTTAACCATAGGGGGCTGCAGACACTTCTATCCTAGGTGCTCTTCTTCCATCTCCACCTCTCCTCTGCAGCCCAAGATTCTAGGTTATTGAACAAACTGTCAAGGCCCTTCAGTCACAAACATTCTGCCTTAGTAGGGATTATGTCTTTTGTCCAGGAAAAGGAATATAATTGGAATTATACATACATATATACACATATACATTATATACATCCAAGAAAGGAACACTTCCCTTTCCCCAGACCAGATTCTACCTTTTAAAAAGATTTCTGCAGATGTAACTGTGATTACTCTCAAGACCTCCTGATTCTCCATGAAGTCACATCTTCCATTTCAAAATGAAAACTAATGAGAAACCCGAACGTGAAGGCTGACAAGCATCACTTATTTACTGCACTCACTCCGGACTCAGTAACACGGCAATTCACTTAAGTTCTTGCTTTTCGTGTACGTGAAGAGAGGACATTGAGACAGTGCCTTGTGTAGCCAAAGCTTGCCTCAGGTTCACTATGTAGCCAAGGATGGCCTTTAATTCTCAATCTTTCTGCCTTTAACTCCTGAGTGTTGGGAAATACAGGTAAATGCCAAAATGTCTGCTAAGATTTTTCTATATGATCACTTAAATAAATAAAATAGACTCCGTAACATAAACCTACATGATACACCAAGTTCGATCTTGTTTCCCAACGCTCTGAGACTAGTCTGTCCTGTTCGGGAGTGAGGTAAGCAAGCGCTATTTATGTGTTCACTGCAAAGAGAGACTAGCAAGGCAGCCTGTTTATACTTTGCCAAATCTCACTGCCAGTGCCACCATCACTGTAAATATGGGCATTTCCTTTCGGGTCAGTGTCTTATGAAGTAGTAAATTTCGTTTGAAGAGGAAGCCTGGAAGAGGTCAGCAAAGCATCGAAAGTCTGAGTATTTAGCACTCCAGTGGCGTTTAAACACTTACAGACCCAGGAAAACTGCCCACCTTTTAAGCTCCTTCTTTGTACTGAGTATGCTGCAGTTCTATCTACCAACATCTCTATAAAATAGGAGTTAAATTAAAAAACATTTATTTTTTTATGTGTGTGTACATGTATGGGTGCACACATGCTGCAGGCCACAAGTGGAGGTCAGAGGACAACTTTGGGATTCGGCTCTTTTCTTTCACCATGTCGGTTCCAAGGATGGAAATCGGGCTGCCAAGTTTGGTGGCAAGAACGCTGAGCCATCTCAGCAGTTGAAGTTTTAAAGCCAGAGTAAATTGCAGTTTGCAACAATTAGGAACTAGTGAGAAGGAATCTTGGCAAGTTTTGTTTCTGTTTTTGCCTCTCCTACTATCAAACCCTGACTGTTCTGGCTTCTTACGACCGGTTGCCAAAGGCGCGAGTGACAAACAGGTTCAGGGAGGTCACCATCTTCCCTCTCACCTATGTTTAAGTGCTGGCCCTCGATTCTAGTTCACGGGTTCACCCAAGTTTTCTCCAAGTCAGAGAACAGCTGCGGTCTCCAAACGGAGAGGCAAGCGAGTGGAACCTTTAGCTTAGAGGCGGCGCGCGGGCCTCTGCGGGCCGCACTGCCTCCCCAGCCTGTTTCCCTACACGTGAGTCGGGGGGGGGGGGAACACCTCACCTCGGGGCCGCGGGGCGCTCGGTGGAGGAGCCACAGTCGCCCTCTCCGCGCCGGCCCAGCATGGCCCAGAAGCCCCACCGCGAGGGCGGGGCGCGGCGGAGAGAAAGCGGCGCCAGGCAGGGACCGTGCCCCGCGCTCCCGCCCGGGTCTGAGCTCCGCTATTATTCCGGAAATGCCTGAGGAAAGCTAGCGTCTTCCGCTTCCTCGCGCCTGCAGCAGCCCACCGCTCACCCGCTGTGCCGCTACACCGGGCTTCTCCGGTGGCCACTCGCTCATCCACTTCCGGCTCTGTCCGCATGTGGCGTTCCCTCGTTTGTTCTCCGATGTCGACACTTGGGTGTCTGAAAGTTCCGAGGTTGGTGAGTTCCGGGCGCCCAGCTGTCTGCGTCCGGTTTGGTGCAGCTGCGGTTCCCCAAGTCTCCACTATATCCCTTCTCCCTGCATCCTGGAAAGGGGGGGGTCCCCCCAAAATCACCCAGAGAAACAATGATGATGATTGTCATTATGGTTATGAAAACTGACATGAAAACAGATGCTATTAGTAATTAAAATAATTTTAAAATTGCAGACAACAGGCTTCTTTCAGAGTTAGAAACTTTTTAGAGTTGAAGATGGTGACTCATACCAGGAATTCTTTCAGTAATCCGGCGACTGAGGCCAGTCAGGAGCTACACATTGAGTTTCATTCTAGCCTGGACTACACGCTATACAAAACAAAGCAAACAAAACACCACCTAAAGTTTTGTAGACGGTACTATTTGTGTTAATATATCTGGAAGATGATGTATAATTTTTTTTAGAGCATTAGGATCACAGAAGTTTTAAAATAGTTTTCATGACTTTATTAGCATATTGTTCTTAATAGCCTGGTGTAGTGACACATAACCTTTAATTCCAGAATGGGGTGGGGTGGCAGAAGTAGGTGGATTTCTATGAGTTCAAGGCCAGCCTGGTCTACAGAGCTAGTTCTAGAACAGTCAGGGCTACACAGAGAAACCCTGTCTCAAAAACAAAACAAAACAAAACCAGATGGAGATAGATAGAGAGAGTTCGTTCTCCTGTTTTTAAACCATCACTCTGTAACTAAGCCATGGCCCTGACAGTCCTAACAAGCTAGGGTTGGGCACCCATCCTCAATACAACAGTGAAAGAGACAACTAAGGCTGCATGATAGCACGGCATGTAAAGACACTGACTGCCAAGCTGGCCATGTGCACACGACATAAATAAAAATAAAGAGATAAGTATTACTAAAAAGCAGAGAAAAGAGGTTTATTCAATGTGCTCACAATTGGTAGAGTAACAACTAATGAGGTCTAGTAACTCTCCTCACAAGTTCTTGGGGTCCTGAAATGAGACTTAGGTTTAAGTAGAGAGCAAGAGGTATGCTTAACTACATTACTACTTGGTCAAGCTTGTTAAGTTCCAAACTTGGAATAAATGGCTGAGGTGCCTATTTAACATATCAAAGCGAACCTGGCCTCCAGGTTCCCTCAGCATCCTCAGTCCCTGCCTGCTGGCATTCCTCTGCCCTCTACCCTGAACTCTCTAGGCCAGGGGCTGTGCTGCCCTTCCCTCAGAGGCTCTTCCATATATAATCCAGACTCCTTGGTCACCCGCCCCTTTGGCCTCCTGGTTGCTGCACCAGGTTTCCCTCTCTTTTCTCTCCGTGGCCCCCACTCCCCACCCCCATGGCCCAGCTCAACCTGGACTTTGCCAGATGTCCCTGCCTCTGTCTCTAGCTACACTCTGCCTTTTATCTATCATAAACCTTTTCCTCCACTATGCCTCGGAGCAGTCATGGCCTTTCCTTTCCTTTTTAGTTCTTTATTTCATTCCGAGGTGTGGGCTTGCCCATAATCTGCCCATCGTTGTCACACAGTGATCTGATAGATTGTCAGACTGAGTAAAATCTCCTCCTGAGAGGCAAGGCCCTTCGGTGGCTGGCCCCAAGTCTTCAGCCTTCCCCCTCTATCAGAATGGGATTCCTGGGGAAATTTTAATTCTTTGGGGACAATAGTCTGATAGCATAAGTGTCTGTCTTTAAATTGTCATTGTAACATCCTGGCAGGGGTGAGTCCATTCTAAAGAGCAGCCCCCCCGCCTTTGTCCATCAGATTATGATCTCTGTTGCTTCTGTTTTGAATTCTCTTCACCTGGCTTTGTTCTAGGAGGGAAAGACCTGGGTTGACAGCTCTTCAGAGTTTAGAAGGGGTCAGAGCACCCATCTCCTAGGACCCCCAATTTCCTGCTGTGTGAAGAGGTGCTTTTCCTGCTCTGAGGATGCACCCTCTCGCCCCAGTTCACCAGGCATTTAAATGTGAACAAGAAATCTGTTTCCACGGAGCTCAGCTTCTCAAGGGGAGTTGAGGTCACCCTCCCTCAGGGAGATGAGCCCACCAGCCAGCTCCTGGGTTCTGGTCCACGAGCTTCTAGCAGGTGCTTCCTCCCAGTACACTTCCACAGGACCAAAGCAGAGCCACAAAGGCTGCTGTTACACTATTCTGGTAAGTGACGCTCCAGAGCCCCTGAAAGCTCAGGAAGGTGGTGAGCAGGAACCAGGGTGCAATGACCCTCTTCTCAAAGCAGGGAGGAGAGTGTTTCCCAGCTGGCAAGGGCCCCAGGAGCAGTGGCTGTGGGAAGCAAATTGCTGCAGGTCGTAAGCCATGGCCTGGACTTCTATTCTGATCATGCTGCTGGCCCACCTCACAGGTAAGGGAACTCCTGGGTCCTAGAGCCTCTTTGTCCCTCCTCTTGCCTTGCTCTGCCCGGGTGATGAGCATGCTTCTGTCTTCCCAGGTTGTGGCCCTCAGCTCGTGTTGCATCAACCACCATCTGCCTCTTCCTCGCTTGGAACCACCATTCGTCTCACCTGTGCCCTGAGCAGCAACCATAACATCGATATTTACAGTATTTACTGGTACCAGATGAGGCCGGGTCACCCTCCCAGGTTCCTGCTAAGACATTTCTCACACTCAGACAAACACCAGGGTCCCAATATACCCGCTCGCTTCTCTGGATCCAAAGACGTGGCCAGGAACCTGGGGTATCTGAGCATCTCTGAACTGCAGCCTGAAGACGAGGCTGTGTATTACTGCTCCATGGGGCCCCGGAGCCAGGAAAGGGAGAAGTGGATGGAGAGGGAGAGAGGAGGAGAAAAGTTGTTCCAGATTCGGGATCCCAGGCTCTAGAGACATTCAGACCCTGAACTTTAGGTGCAGTTTGCTTTGCTCGGCTAGGCTGGTATAGGGAGGAGGGGTAGAGCATGGGGCTTTGCAGAGCCAAGGACATGGAGCCATTCAGCTTTCCCTTGTCTTGCAGTGTTGCTGTGAGCCCCACTGGAGGCTGGGTTATAGAATTAAAGCTGTTTCTCTGAGTTTGGCTTGGCTGGTTTGTGATCTCAGAACCAATGTAAGAACTGGCTAGTAGTCCCTTGAACCTGACTGGTCATTCTCAGCTTGACCAGGGACCGTGAACAACAAGCTCATTATGATCATGGGGCAAGTGGATGACAGAAACATCCTGGAGGGGGACCTCCATGCCAGGGACTGGGTTTTCTATTGTCGCCTTCCTAGTCACAGAATGAAGGAGCTTAGGGCACACTATCACTGGCCCTCCACTTTGGGGTACAGCAGGTTCCCCTCCTTGGTACCTAGTGATGCTTAGGGATGAGACTGCTTCGTCATGGGGCTGCCTTTGCATTGCAAGTGTTGAGCAGCTTCTCTGGCCTCTACTACCAGATGCAGTGCACAGCACATGTCCCCACTGTAAGTGATGACAACCCCAGATGGCTCCAGGTAGTAGTAAAGATCCCCAGGGTGAGAGAGATACATCTCCCTTCTGTGCAGTGGAGTGATGGGGCCAGCCAGTATTTAAAAAACTATATACACAAGAAATAATTATTTTCTTTCTTTCTTTCTTTATTGATGTTTTTTTTGAGACAGGGTTACTCTATACCCTTAGCTGTCTTGGAACTCAGAAATCCTCTTGCTTCTGCCTCTCAAGTGCTGAGATTAAAGGCATGTGCCACCATCATCCTGTGAAATAATTCTCTATTACTGCAGCTGGTTAGTAAGTCAATTGTCATTCTGTAAAAGTCAAAGAACAAAAGTATTTAAAATAACTATGGTTAAATAATTCTAGTGAACACATTATAAGAATAGTTGCAAATTGTGACGTCAGTGAGTACAGTGTGAAGGGAGGAGAGGTAGAAAGCAGAGCGTTCTTGCAAATATTTATCAGCTTAAAATAAACTGCTGAAACTACAAGTTATCTTATGTGAGTCTGTTGGGAACCATGAATGAAATGGTATAGAAGTTACACACACACACACACACACACACACACACACACACACACACACACGGTGTGGGGGATGTCCAAACAATGCAAGACAATCATCGAAAATAGTGACAACATAAAACATTACATCAAAATAAATTCAACAAATAAAGTGAAAGGTCTGTATATGTTTTTGAATTGTTATCTTTTTTCTTTTTTTGAAAATATATATTTTAATATAATATATTCTCTTTTTCATATATTCTGATTACAGTTTCCCATCTTCCTGCTCTTCCCACCTTCCCTCCCATTGGTTCCACACCCTTTTCATCTCTCTTTAGAAAATAAAAAGGTATCTGAGGAATAATAATAAAATATAATAAGATAAAACAAAAACAAATCAGAGTAGGACCAATGAACGAACCAACCAACCAAACAAAAAGAGCCAAAGCAAAACAAGAAAACACATATAGACTCAGAGACACACATGTTGGAACACTCAGGAATCCCACAAAAATCCAAAACCAGAATCCAAAATATACACAAAAGGACATGAAGGACACACAGGACACACACACACACACACACACACACACACACACACACACACACACACACACTCTGACTCAGCATTATGATTCCCCCCCCCCCAAAGATGCCATTGGGTTTGTTTTGTGTTGGCATCCACTGCTGGGCATGGGGCCTCTCTTTAAGAGTGGTTTGTTTCCCCAGTGAGACTCCGTTGGAGACACAAATATTTCATTTGCAAGTGGCCGTCAGTTGGAGATAGCTTCTGGGTTAGGGATGGGCTGTGTGTCCATTTCTCCTTTCAGTTCTAGGACCCCACCTAGTCGAGACCCATGCAGGCTGTGTGCATGCTGTCACAGTCTCCGTGAGTTCAAATGTGCACTGCCCAGCTGTGTCTAGAAGGCCTTGACTTCCCGGTGTTCTCCATCCCCTCTGGCTCTTTCACTTTTTTCCCCTCCTCTTCTGCAGGGTTCCCTAAGCGCTGAGGGGAAGGATTTGATGGAGACATCCCTTTAGAGCTGTGTGTTCCAAGGTCTCCTTACTCTGCATATTGTCTATTTGTTCCCATCTGCTGTAGGAGGAGGCTTCTCTGATGATGACTGGGCAAGGCAGGGATCTGTAAGTGTAGCAGAATGTTCATTAGGAGTCACTTTATTGCTACATTCCAAACAGTAGCATTTGGTTTTCCTCTAGGTTCCTGGCCTATCTAGTCTCATGTTCGTGATCACCCAAGCAGTGTTGGGGATGGGTTCCACCTCAGAGTAGGCCTTAACTCAGGACAGATATGGTTGGTTACTCCCACAAGCTTTGTGTCCTCACTGCATCAGCAGATTCTGCAGGCAGACCACTTTTGTAGATTGCTGGGTTTGTAGCTGGGTTGGGGTTTACCTCTCTTCTTTGGTACCATGCGGAGTACCTTCTTATGAACACTACTCTGTAGGGGTGAAGACTCCAGGGAGGCACCAGCCCACCTTTTCTGTATTCAGTGAGTAGTGTAGGTGTTGTCTTTTCATTGTACTTCCTACCTCTCCCTCTGCTGTAGCTGTGACTTGTCCTCCATCCTTATTGTCCCTTCGTCCAATCTTGCCCTCACTCTGACTGTTTCCTCTATTCTGAGGCATGGGGGCTAGCCATGCCTGTAGCCCCCAACTTTCTCGTCACCGCTTTCAAATAAAGTGACTGTATGTTGGCATGAATCTCTAATCCTGGAGGTTGAGGCAGGGGAATTAAATTTGAGGTTAGCCTGGGCAACATAGTGAGATCCCCTCATCTAAGTCCCGACTCAGAAAAGTGGAACTTTCCTTTTTTCTTCTTTTCTGTCTTTTTCTTTGGAATGTGGGCCAGAATGCAAGTATGCTTTCTCTGGCACTTTAGTTTTTTTTCAGTCTTTCTCTGAATCCACCCCCTTTTTGCTAGGTGGCTGTCTGCTGACCCTCCAGACCTAACTGAAAGGGCATGGTTTTTACTCTTTCTTCTCCACCTCCCTCTCTCCTTGGGCAGCTGCTATTTTCAGCCTGCCTATCCTGTTGTTTTTCTTTTCAATGCTAATGAAATTGTCCTTGAGCTTAAAAAAAGAAATAAGTAGAAAAAAAGCACTTAAAATGATTTCTAATTATATATTTTATTTAACACAACATGTCCCAAATATAGTTATTTTAATAAGCAACCAGTATAATAGGCACGTATGAGGATTACTTCTTTGGTATTCCATCTTTGAAATCCAGTATGCTTTTACAGTTGTGGTTTACCTCAGCTCAGAACCACAACAACTGTGTATGGTGTATGAAAAGAACGCAGACTGAAGGGACGGAATTCAGATTCCTCATCATCCAGCCTTTCCTGTGCGGGAACTCCTGTCTTGTCCCGCCCACCTGCACTGCCCATTTCTGCCGCGTCCAGCTAACTGCCACTGATCAGGTGCCTGGTTCGCTTGGTCGCCTCCAAACCTTCCCTCAAGCTGCTTACACAGGGAGGGTTTCCTGTCCCTGGACTGTGTCTGCCCTCTGCAGGGCGGCAAGGCTCCACAGCGATCTCTCCTCCCCCCCTCCTTGGGCAACCGCTTCCTGGCCGCTCTTCGGTTGTTACCTCCCTCCAGTGGGCAGACAGCCTGTTTTCCTAATTACAGTTAGCACCTGCCTCGCAGCCCTGGTTTTATTTAGCAAGGCTCTTACACTAGCCTGCAAATTCCCAGCTGGCTGGAGGCTCTGCCTGTGATAAACACTCCAGGTGATGAGACAGGCCGGTGAGCTAGGGAATGAGAGATGAATGCATGGGCGAGGGAATTCTAGGCTACTCTCATTAGGATCTCATCGGGACCCCACAGTGGCTGGGGTCACTGCGATTCCTGGAGACTGGGGAGAAGCCCAGGCTCACATTCACATTTGTGACTGGCCACACTCTCTCACTGTCTGTACATCTGTCTCTCTGTTGCTTCTCTCTGTCGCATTAATATCCTCTGATGACTGACTAATGAAACAAGTGACTGAATGCTGTAACCAAGAGGGGCCCGGAAAGGCGAAGCTTGAAGGAGGCGAAGGCACTGAAGAAACTCAGGGAACCTTCTGAGCCTGAGCCAGAGAGCTAGTGGAGGGGCTGGGTCCCAGTGCCAGGGCCCACTGCCCAGTAGGCAAAGACTCTGCTTAGGGAATCAAGAGGACTCCCGACAGTCGTGTGGAACTGTGGGGTTCTGAGGACGGTGACCTATGCACACAGCTTCCAAATGCAACAGGAAACAGTACCAACTGAACTGGACATGTTGACAGCGACTCAAACATTCTGACCTGAGAAAGATCCTGAGTCTCTGGGGGAGGGGATCTGAGGGGCTCCTGGATGTTGTGTTGGTATTTTACTCTTTGCTCTTTTGGGGGGCCCACCTCCCAGTTCCCAAATAAATCACACACAGAGGCTTATTCTTTCTTATAATTGCCCAGCCTTAGCTTGGCTTGTTTCTGGCTACCTTTTCCCTCTGAGTCCTTGGGGGAGGGGATCTGAGGGGCTCCTGGGGGAGGGTCTTACAGGGAGTCACTTAGATTTTTGTCATCCAATCCCACAGAGAAGTCATTACGTTATTTTGCCTTATCCTTTATTTTCCCTGCAGTGCCCGCTTGTCTGACTTAGCCTGTGATGATGCTGATGTATGTGTTCCACATTTGCTTCTCTGTCGTTACTTAGAAACAGGTCATGGCTGGTTGATGCTGACAAAGGTCCTAAACTAACTTCTTCTCAACAACCAGGCTTCAACCCTGGCTCATAAAGAGTACGCAAACACTGACCAGTTCTTAATATTGGAAGGTCTAGGAGGACCCAAGTCCCTCCCTCTTGAATTGTCTCCTGAAAACTGCAGAATGAGTATACTCAGGGGAGGCCCCTGCTAGAAGTCTCTACAGGAGAGCGGGAGCCTAACAAAACAGCCCCGGTCAGCACTCCTAGAGTGGCAGTGGTAAGAACTTCAGATTTCTCATTATAAACCAGTAATTAGTAATTAGCAAATATGCCATTCTACACAAGGAACATGAACATCCCTGGAACCAAAGGACAACTCCACCTTTTCCCATTTAAAAAAAATAT